TAAAGCTGAAACCATGGAAGTCTCCTCATTTGCAAATGTGTAAGATGTTAGCAAGCTTGTTTCTAGCTAAATATTTAGTTTGTTAAATAAATATTAAGTTCGGAGCTGAATATTTATTTGGCAAACTGAATATTGAATAAACAAACTATAAATTTAACAAACAAATTATTTAGCTTGGAAAATAAATATTTAGCTTGGAACTTTTATTTCTATAAATGAATGAATGGCATAGTGAAAAAATAACCCCCTCATTTTTCTCTTAAAACACGTTGAATAACCATAACTATTGCTCCTAATTTTTGACTGCTTAACTTTACAAATGTTGCCACAAACACATTCACTGCATAATAAAATGATTCAGCTCAGTTTGATTTATTCAGTTTATTTAAACAGGCCAGTTCACATCACATATCTGAAGTTATTTTACAGATACAATTAATTCAGATCATCAAGATACATTGGCTATCTATCAGTCATCAATTGGTTATGCCAACACATGCACACACGTATGTACTGTACACTGGTTATTTGAAAGAATTTAAGTTGAATGTCATATCGCTTTAAAGCTAGTCATGTACTAGCTTTGTAGACATGTTTGATGGTGTAACACTCTTCCACCTACAGCTCGCTTCTGGGCTTTTGAGTTTTAGTGGTTTCCAGGATTGTGGCTGCTCCTGACTTTCTGCAGCCGGTAGAATGGCCTTGTTTGTCTGAAGCAACTTCACCTTCCTATCCAATCCCTGCAAAAAAAAAAAAAAAATGAAACAAACCAACATGAAAGTGATCAATGCTGCAGCCCTACTGGAACGGTTAAAGGAAAAGTCTGCTCATATTCAGAATTCAAACTTCTGAAAGTACTTTAAATATGAAATTATTACATACATATTATTACTTAGATAATTGTGTGTTGTGACAAACACCAGATACAGCACTGGGACTTGATCAACAGCCGATACCGCACCGTGACGTCACAAACCAGTAGGTGGCAGTAGTGTTCTTTGACAAACATGGATGACTCCAGTAAAGCACATTCAAATAAAAATTACTATTAATTAAAAACACTGATCATTTATTGAACAGTATGGAATCATTTTTATATTTAAAGTACTTTCAGAAGTTTGAATTATGAATATGAGCGACTTTTCCTTTAAGGGCAGATCTGGCAGTCGTTGTTGCTAATGGTGAAAAATGTTATTTCCTTTAAGTGTGAAACCTAAAGGCAAGGTATACAGCAAAAAGACAAGAAGCAGCTGAAGATTAAATCTGAGGAAGGATAGTTTTGTATCAAATGTAATATCATTTTACATGAAAGTTCCTATTTGGTTTTCGCTTCAATCAGATTTGCCCATTTTTATTCTTTTATTTATTGATAATAATATACTTTTGGATTTGAGGTATTGTGCACAATCTTTCAGGGTCGAGGTCCTTGAGGATCATCTCATCTATTGGTTGACCCACATATTTTGCACCTAATGCCAATGTGCACTGCATGCTCTTTTAGTTTATTAGAAAATAGGAAGGACTTAGAAATAAGTGGATTTGGAAGATTTTTTATGTGATGGCAGGAGAACAGGAAGAAAAAAAAACAAACAGGACAAAACCATTTTCTAGGCAATATCTTGGATTTTTTTTCATTGCTCAACCTTTTAAGAGCACAAACACCCATCATTGTGAAATAACATGTTGCATGGACTCACTCGTTTGGTTACCAGCTCCTTTGGGTACCTGGAAATGTTTTCCAGTATACGCTCCGTCCTCTCCCAGTCTGCTAACAATCCATGGTGGCAGTACTCAGACCGGCAGGATATGATTCGCTGGTAAATTGCTTGATTTTGGTGGCTGATTAGGGCTAGCTCCTGCTTCCTTTTGCTGCCATTCAGACTACAGATAAATAAAAAAAAGTTCATAAAAAAGTTAGGTAGTATCTTTAGTTAAAGTAATGAGGAAGTTTTCTTTACCAAATTTTGTTAACCTGATCTGTGTAATGTAAGGTCTATAGCCGGTCCTATTATTGATTATCATTAATTCTCAGGAGGGGGAAAGGAAACCCTACTTATGGATGACGAGCTGTCAGTCAAAGGCTTCCTGGTGGTACTTCCTGCATGATTGTGTCTACAAGGCCCAGTCAGGAGGAGGCTTACAGAACAGGCTTGTCTCTGCCCAACCTGTCAAAACACATTTTCCTTTTTGAAAGTAGAAAATCAGTCCGGATGCCTCCTGGTTGTTTCTCTCTTAAAATGTTCCAGGCATCTCCACCAGCAGGAGGCCCAGGACACACTGGGGTCCCTCAGGTGGCCCTGGAATGCCGTGGGCTCCTGGATAAGTGAGGACGACGAGGACGACAAATGTCTCAATGTACTTAATGAGTGCAACTATTACTATGGTTTTTACATAAAAATTTTATTAAATGATTTTTTTGTGGACTATTCGAGAAACAAGTTTATGACCTCTTTGTCAGGATCCCAGTTTTTGTGTTCGTCTGTTTGTCTTGTCTTTTGAGTTTCTCCCTTCCGCCACCAGGAGGCGCCTGGCTCCGGTTTGCCTCCTCACACACCTGCAAGTTGTTGCCTCATCACTGGACTGCTCTTAAGCTGCTGGTTGCCACTACTTCGACGCCAGAGTGTTTGCCAGTTTGGGGTACTCTAGCCAAGCCTTGTTTATGCTGAGTCTAATCTGAGTGTTTTTTTTTTTTAGTTTTAGTTCTCTAGCCAAGCTGAGATCACATTTTGTTTAACTAAGCGCTTGTTTCTCCCTGAGTCTCAACTTTGTTTGTTCTTTGCCTTTCGGCAGGAAGCCTTCCTGCAAACTGGACCTTTCCGGCCGCCTTCACCCAAGTGGGATCAACTGAGTCTTACACTGAGCGACGGATTCCAAACAGGAGGTTTGGATCCGGCCCCTTTGAGCACGCTGAGATCACTCTCTGAGTAAGGAAGTCATCTTCACCACGACCCGTTCAAGTACCACAGGAAAACTGAGTTGCAACCAGTGGCTGCATCATTCCACTCCGTCCGAGTTCTGGGTAAACCCTGTTCCACCCTCCACCGAATCAAACAAACCCTGGAAGACCAACACACAGACTGGAGTCTACCTGTCTCTTCTTCTCAGGAAATGTGAGTTGCAACTAATCCTCTCCTTCAAGATAAACAACCCCAATTCCCCACTGAGCCTGAACCTAACAGTCTGTCTTCCCCTCATCTTTCAGTTTTCCGGCCGAGCAGAGTTCGGAGGAACTCTGCACCAAACTCAAAATATCTTTCAATAAAACCCGTTCAAACTTTTACTCTGTGTCTCTCTGTTTGGCTTCACTGCATGTGGGTCCAAGCCTTAGATAAAATCATGACACTCTTTACCTTTGTTTATTACTTGCTAAATAATCTTTTTGAAACAAATTCTGAATGAAAAAGGGATTAATTTCTTTAATGAAGTCCCATTCTCATAACTACTGTTGCGCCGATGCCATTTTTGGCCCTGATACTGATACCTGGCTGTGCAGTATTGGCCGATACCATCTGTTTGAAATTGATGTGTGTGTTTATATATGAAGAACTTCATACTACTTGGATGTAAAATAATTGCCATCATGGCTTTGTCAAGCTGCTGCCTACCTTTGTGAAGCAGGAAAAAAAACTAATACAAAGTGAATCCAGTAGAACTTTTTATTGCCTACCAGAAATGTGTGACAATAGTTGAATAAACTTTTGGCTCTATAAATGGTATCGATGCCCTATTTGTTGGTACTCGCCCATTCCGATACCAGCATTTTAGTGCTGGGTCGGGGCCCCGCCCAATACTGGTATCGGTATCGGTGTAACACTAATCGTAAACAAACTTCCCTACCTTCTGGGTTGGTACTGGTTTCTGTGGTCCACGAGGCCTTTGGAACAATCAATGTTGAACAGCCTGGAAGCCAAAAGGTGGTTGTCTCTCTCGATTGAAAAGAGTCGTTCCAGCTCCATCTTAATCACACCGTAAAAAGCAAAAGTTGATATTTGAATATTATTTAGAAACATTTAAAATAATTTTTACCATTTAGATGAAATTCTCTGTATTGTTGAATTAAAATATAAACAAATCAGGAGGAAAATTAGAGGTTTAGACTTATTCTTTGTTGATTTTTTTTTTTTTTTTTTATTTATGTAAGGACAGACAAAGATCAATAAACTGAATGCTGGTGAAGATTCTTAGTCATCCAGGTCTTAGACATAAAAAAAAAGTCCAAAACAATCCACTGGACTTTGTCTCCAAGTTTGAAGACGTTTCTCTTCCATCCAGGAAGCTTTTTAAAATCAAAATGTCAGAAATAGCATTGAGTTCTAAGTT